TTTATTTATTTATTTATTTATTTATTTATTTATTTATTTATTTATTTTTTCTTGAGACAGAGTCTCTTTTCATAGCCCTGGCTGGTTGTCCTGGAACTCACTCTGCAGACCAGACTATCTTCAAACTCACTGAGATCTGCCTGCCTTTGGCTCCTAAGTACCTCATCGGGTCTTCAATTTTTACAACAGGACTTAACATACAACATACGCTGAATATTCAATCGATTACTATGCCTGACATTTAATGAATACTAAGTTACAATTTTGATGCTGGGACTCGCTCAGCAAAGGAAGTAAGAACTAGCTTTACAAGGCCACGGTTGTGGGGAGCTCGGGTATGCCACTGATTATACTTGTTGAAGCCACGTTTAGGTTCTGTAACTTTTACAAGGTTATAAACTAATCATTACCAGGTAAGAATTCAAGCTGAGATTCATGGAATTCCAAAGCCAATGCTTTTCAGACAGGAGCAATAAACAAATCATTGCCAGGTAAGAATTCAATTGAGATTCATGGGATTCCAAAGACAAACTTCTTAGGAGCTTTCCTGCTCTTTCTCTTGTGTAGTTTAAATTTCCCACCTTACTGCCTCTTCCAATAAACGCTGAAAACTCAAACTGGGAAGAGGAAGATGAGGCAAAACACTGGAGAGTAAAGAGAAACCTTGGGACATTGAAGGATTCACAGTTTGGGATTAGAACAGAAGAGGAAGAGATTTGGATTTACCACACCTTAAAAATGGCATTTGCGAGTCAGGCGGCAGTGGTGGCATACGCCTTCAATCCCAGCACCCAGGAGGCAGAGGCAGGCGGATTTTTGTGAGTGTGAGTGAGGCCAGCCTGGTCTACAAGAGCTAGTTCCAGGGCAGCCAGGTCTGTTACACAGAGAACCCCTGTCTCGAAAAAACAAACAAAAAATGCCATTTGAGGATTTACACGAAAAACAGACCTAACCTAGTGTTTCTAAATATTGTCAAACCACGACAGCACGTGTACGTGCTTTTCTAATTTTCTGTTTTATAAGTTACCTCTTAAACTGGGTGATTTTGAAAGGATGGGATTAGTTATGTATATCGGTTCTTTACTAGGAGTCCACGCCGCACCTGTAAAGAAATCTTCCTTGGAAGGGAATTTAATAAAAATATCAAAAGCTTAAATGATCGACCTCCTTTGTTTTTGCCAACTGGTAAGAAAGTAACAGTACTAGTTCCTAGTGGAATTTTTAACAATTTTTTTTTTCTCCCCTCGGAAGTCTGGCAACTCTTTCTCGGAGGGCCACTGTATTCATAAAGACCAAAACCGCGGCGAGCCGAGAGGAACAAAGCGGCGGTTGAGAGCGCGGTCCCGGACCCCGCGCTGGCTTTGCGGGATCGGCACCGGAGCACCCCACGCTGCGCTCCGCCTGCTGGAACCCGAAGGCCCACGCCGCCGGTCCGCCCGCCCGCCCCCCGACGCGCTCCGGCCCACGCATGCGTCTCGTGTACGGCAGCTTTCCCCTCCCTCCCCGTGCCCCGCCCTCCGGTCCGATGACGTGAGCGGCGAGGGCGGAGCCAGGGTCCGTGGCGGGAGTGGGGGAGGAACTGCGAGGTGTGCGTGGACGTCAGACTGGATAGCGGAAGGTCAGGGCGGCCCGGAGCGGAAGTGGGGCTCGGGAGCTGGTCCGCCATTGTGGGCCCGAGGAGCGGAGGGCGAGCGGGGACGAGCGGCGTGCC